AGGGGAACTGATCAACTACACTGGCCGTAGTGTATGAGTGTGTGAAGGTGTTTCCCAGTACAGGGTTGTAGCTGAAAGGGCATCCGCTGTGTGAAACATATGCTGGATAAGTTGGCGGTTCATTCCGCTGTGGCGACCCCTGACTAAGCTGAAAAGAAAATGAATGAATGATGTGAAACATGCGTGCGTTCGTGTGTGTGTGCAGGTGTGTGTGGTGCGCGCAGTGACCGCTCTGAGCTGGTGTCAGTCTCTGTGGGGGAGTCGGTGACTCTCCGCACCGGTGTGAGCGTGCGCATTAATGATCGTGTGCTCTGGAGGTTTGGGTCTGACCGTGCAGATCCTCCCATCGCCGAGATCCTCCGCCGGTCCTACATGCTGTCTCTGCACGTCGGAGCTCTGGAGCGCTTTCAGGACCGACTGCAGCTCGACCAGCACAGCGGATCTCTGACCATACACAACTGCACATCCCAGCACTCGGGACTCTACAGGCTGACCGTCAGCGGTAGCAGGAACACCTTCAACAAGAGCTTCAGTCTCAGAGTCTACGGTGAGCAGAAGCCATCTCACAACTCTATTTGTTTAATGATATGCTTTAAATGCGCCTGCAGTCTTATTCAGCCTGTTATATACAAGATATAAACTGCGTCTGTGCGGTGTCCAGAGTGTGTGTGAGCTGAGAATACACACAGGTCATGTCCTCCAGCTCTCTGAAACTGACCCTCTCAGGCTTTCATCCTCATTGTGGTGTTTTGGTGGCTGTCGCTTTAAATGCAAATGAGATTGAGCTCTTTTCAGAAGAGGGCGGAGCTACAGACTGCTACACAATAAGTGTTGTGTGTGTGTGTGTGTTTGTGCAGCTCCTCTGTCCGTCCCCGTCGTCAGGAGTGTGTCGCTGTCCAGCAGATCTGCAGGTCAGAAGTGTGTGTTGGTGTGTTTGCTGAGGAACGCCTCGTGGGCGACGCTGTCCTTCTACAGCAGCGGCGGAGTGTTACTGTCCAGCGTCACACACACCAACAACAACTCGGACCACAGCAGCCTCTCATTACCACTGCAGATCCAGCCGCAGGAGGAGCAAACGTACAGCTGTGTGGCCAACAACAGCATCAGCACACACACCACACACTTCAACAGCACTGACCACTGCCACACACACACAGGTGACCACACACACACGCACACACACACACACACACACACACATATTCTGTTCAGCAGCTCTGTCATCACTCTGTGTGTGTGTTTCAGAGCCGTCTCCGCAGTACTGTCTGCTGCTGCTGCTGCTGCTGATTCCTGCTGCTGTCGCTGTGACGCTGCTGATAGTGTGTGTGTGCAGAAAGCACAGACGAGCAGAGACGCGGAGTGAGTGCATCACATACTAGTCTTTTAAACTCGTACACTACACGATTGAGTGTATGAGTGCCTGGAGGTCTGGTGTCACTGCAAGGTTTAGCTCCAACCTGCCTCAACACACCTGCCTGGGTGTTTCAGGTGTCTAGTAAGAGCTTGATTAGCTTGTTCAGGTGTGTTTGATTAGGGTTGGAGCTCAAATCCGCAGGACACCGACCCTCCAGGAAGTTTGGTGACCCTTGGTGTATAGGGTATAAGTGCATAGGGTATATGTGCATAGGGTATATGTGCATAGGGTATAAGTGCATAGGGTATAAGTGCATAGGTTATAGGTGCATAGTGTATAAGTGCATAGGGTATAAGTGCATAGGGTATAAGTGCATAGGGTATAAGTGCATAGGGTATAAGTGCATAGGGTATAGGTGCATAGTGTATAAGTGCATAGGGTATAGGTGCATAGGGTATAGGTGCATAGGGTATAGATGCATAGGTTATATGTGCATAGGGTATAGTTGCATAGTGTATAAGTGCATAGTGTATAGGTGCATAGGGTATAGGTGCATAGGGTATAAGTGCATTGGGTATAAGTGCATTGAGTATAAGTGCATAGGGTATAAGTGCATAGGGTATAAGTGCATAGGGTATAAGTGCATAGGGTATAAGTGCATAGGGTATAGATGCATAGGTTATATGTGCATAGTGTATAAGTGCATAGGGTATAGATGCATAGTGTAAGTGCATTGTGTATAAGTGCATAGGGTATAAGTGCACGGCGTATAAGTGCATAGGGTATTGTGTGCAAGTACATAGGGTATAAGTGCATAGGGTATAGATGCATAGGTTATATGTGCATAATGTATAAGTGCATAGGATATAAGTGCATAGGGTATAAGTGCATAGGGTATAAGTGCATAGTGTATAAGTGCATAGTGTATAAGTGCATAGTGTATAAGTGCATAGGGTATAAGTGCATGGGGTATAAATGCACGGCGTATTAGTGCATAGGGTGTAGTATATAAGTGCATAGTGTATAAGTGCATAGGGTATAGATGCATAGTGTATAAGTGCATAGGATATAGTGTATAAGTGCATAGGGTATAAGTGCATAGGGTATAGATGCATAGGTTATATGTGTATAATGTATAAGTGCATAGTGTATAAGTGCATAGGGTATAGATGCATAGTGTATAAGTGCATAGGATATAGTGTATAAGTGCATAGGGTATAGATGCATAGTGTATAAGTGCATAGGGTATAGATGCATAGTGTATAAGTGCATAGGATATAGTGTATAAGTGCATAGGGTATAGATGCATAGTGTATAAGTGCATAGGGTATAGATGCATAGTGTATAAGTGCATAGGATATAGTGTATAAGTGCATAGGGTATAGATGCATAGTGTATAAGTGCATAGGGTATAGATGCATAGTGTATAAGTGCATAGGGTATAAGTGCATAGGGTATAGATGCATAGTGTATAAGTGCATAGGGTATAGATGCATAGTGTATAAGTGCATAGGATATAGTGTATAAGTGCATAGGGTATAGATGCATAGTGTATAAGTGCATAGGATATAGTGTGCAAGTGCATAGGGTATAAGTGCATACAGTATTGTGTGTTAGGGTATAGGTGCGTAGCGTATAAGTGCATAGGGTATAGTGTATAAGTGCATAGTGTAAAAGTGCATAGGGTATAAGTGCATAGGGTATTGTGTGCAAGTGTATAGGGTATAGATCAGGGATGGGCAAACTTGATCCTCGAGGGCCGCTGTCCCTGCAGAGTTTTGTTCCAACACTAGTCAAACACACCTGAACAAACTAATCAGTGTCTTCAAGATCATTTGAACTCTATAGGGAGGTCTGTTTGAATAGGGTTGGAGCTAAACTATGCAGGACACTGGCCCCCTAGGATCAAGTTTGCCCACACCTGGTATAGATGCATAGCGTATAAGTGCATAGGGTATAAGTGCATGGTGTATAGATGCATAGTGTAGAGCAGAGGTGTATTAGTGCATAGGGTATAGTGTAAAAGTGCATAGTGTAAAAGTTAATAGGGTATAAATGCATAGGATATAGTGTGCAAGTGCATAGTGTATTGTAAGTGTATAGGTGCATAGCGTATAAGTTCATAGGGTATAGTGTAAAAGTGCATAGGGTATTAGTGCATAGCGTATAGGTGCACAGTGTATAAGTGCAACTGCATAGTGTATAAGTGCATGGTGTATAGATGCATAGTGTAGAGCATGGGTTATAGGTGCATAGTGTGTAGGTGCAGTGTATAAGTGCATTTAGAATAGGTGCATGGTGTATAGGTGCATACTGTGTATGTGCATGGTGTATAGGTGCATACTGTGTATAAGTGTAGTGTATAAGTGCATAATGTGTATAAGTGCATAGTGTATAGTTTAGTGTCCAATGCATAGGGTATAAGTGCATGGTGTGTAGGTGCATAGTATACAGGTGCATAGTGTTTAAGTGCATGCTGTATAAGTGTATAGTGCATAATGCATAAATGTAAACGTGCATGGTGTATAGCGTGTCATTTGGGACACAACTATAGTTTGTTTATCATTTCTCCTTGTGTCTTTGTTTTCAGCCGCTGGTGAAAGTGTGTAGCGGTGCTGAAACTGAGGATCATGTACAGAAGATAGCCCACACTGATGAAGAGACTCTTATTATGAAAGTCAGATGATGAACTGTGATTTTACTGTTGTGTAATATTCAGCCTGTTCCTGTGTTTTATGTCCAGCACTCAGAATGTCTGTCAGGAATAACCGAGAGAGATGCAGATGATGCGTTTCACTCCTGCTGTAAATCTGATTATCTTCAGCAGTGATTATTGAAGAGTAAAACAGTGTGATTTATAGCATTGCTGAGAAGAGAAACTAGTTTTTTTTTGTTTTTATTCAAACACATCAGTCCTTCCGTTGTAAATGTGTTTTATTAAGATTGTGTAGGAACGTGTGTATTTTGTCTGGTAATTTATCATTTTCTGTCTGTGTGTCATTGTGTTTGTTTTAAATAAATTATTATTAATATTTAAATATATATATCATTATTTTGTACCTCATTATTTATTTCTTTTTTGGTCAAAATTTGCACACAAAGAACTTTTTATACACGGTCTCTGTTCTGTATTACATTTGGCCCAATATCAACATATATTGTGGCCTACATCAATTGATATTTACATTACAAACAAATATTCAGGCTGCTTTAACATCCTCTGTGCATTTATCATAATTTAATTTATTTATTTCCTTGCAAAACTAATGACCATTATTCAGTGTAACAGCACTTTATATAGAAGAATCTCATCTGTCTTATAGAACAAAAATCATTTGATGACAAATTAAAAGTCTGTTAAAGGATTGTTGTGTACAAAATACCCACTGATTGTCATCTGAAATAGTTCAACATTGCCACTACCATTGAGACCAGTATCATTTACACATTTAGAAAGTTTTTTTAATTATTATTTCAGAATAAAATGAAGTGTCATTATTTATTTTACAACCTAGAAGTAATTTTCTGCATTTATATTTTATATAAATGAACATTACACTGCATGAAGACTGTTTTATTTGTAATGTGACTAATAAAATTACACATATTACAATCAAATAAAATGATTGGTGCGGATATAAATTTGTACAGTTTGAGGTAAATTATTAGCTAAATATTTCCCAAGGGCTGTTAAACAGATTTTTTGACACATCAAAACAATATATATTATAATTATTTATTTATTTTATGTCTTTGTCATGATGACAGTAAATAGTTTAGTTACTTAGCAAGATACTCGACTTAAAGTGTCATTCAAAGGGTTAACTAGGTTTATTAGGCAAATCATTGGCCAATGATGGAATAAATAGTTTTATAATTTTGCACTGTTTAATAATTAAAAACATATTTTACAGCCAAAGAGTATAATAACAAGACTTTCTCTAGAAGAAAAACATAATTCGCGTCTCATCAATCCAGCAGGAGGCGCGAACGGCGGCAAGTGTGGCGCCAAAAGCGGCGAAGAAGACACTCAAACATGGCGATGTCCTCAGCACTCACGCCGCTGCGGGCTCTGCTGTCACTCAGGAGTAAGACTCTTGAAATTAATAAAGACATCAGGTCGAGATGGGCTTTTATTCGTCAGTACAGGTCTAAACCTGATGTCGTCCATACACGTCGTCATTCTCCGCCGGAAACTATTAATAAAGGTAAGAGAAACACGAGCTGTGATGTAATTTTCTTACGAAATTCTGACTGATTTTGGATTTGACCTCTCTGACAGCTCATCCAGATTATCTTCACGCCAAAAACCTGCTGTACAACACGCTGTCCAGATCTGTGGGTCTGTCTAATGTTTCTCAGTACCTCAAGTTCAGCTGCACGGATGGGGAGGTCAAGGTGAGAGAGAGCTGAACCGTGGTCCGGGGTTGCCAGTCCATGGTTTTCCCGAAGAATTGGGCTACTTTTGGTAAAGTCTAGAAGGGATACAGCTGCGGATACTCGCATCAATATCGAGCATACTTTTTGTGACGCTGACAACAATAATTACTGTCTTTACATTAGTGTGAGGGTTGGGGTAGACGTCATATAAATACTATTTAATGAGTAATTTTATAAATAATTCTCATTATAATGACTGTCTTTACATTACTATGAGGGTTGAGGTAGGGCTAGATGTTTATAAAATAAAAAGGTTTGTTTTGGTAATCAATAAAAGTCTGAGCTTCTGCGTTTGCAGTGGCTCCTGTTGATGTCAGCCTGAGTGCTTCCACACCAACTGTACATAAGCCTCCTTAACAAAATAAAGCCCCGCCCCCTATTTAATATTCTTTTTCGTATGAAGTAATTAATATGGAAATAAATCTCAGCAACTTTTAGTTTATGCAGATTTAAGTCATTTTTATGACAACAGAATCTATAATATTTATTTTGTGAATGGTGATGCCATTTAATTTTTGATGTTATTGTCATAGTTTTGGGTTATTTTTTTGACTGCTCATTGCGCTGGTTTTGTTATGGAAACCTGGCAACCCTGTGTGTTGACCTCAGCTGCTGTGTTTCAGAGGGCCACGGTTACTCTTCTTTGGCCCGTGAGGATCGAGACTGAAGGCTTCGGGTCCCGCAAACAGGAGGCGGAGCGAAACGCAGCAGCCGCAGCTCTACAGAAACTTTGCGTGAGATTTTACTCTCATTACACATCACATTAAACAGTACTACACTATTATATACTATATTAATAGTAAATTATACTCTATTTATTTAATTTATATATATATATATATATATATATATATATATATATATATATTTATATATATAATTATTTTTATTAATGCTCCAGCTTACTGTATTACTATAGTAATATAAACTGTAATAAATACTGTAGTATAATTTAGTTTTAGCTACAGTAAACTGGTGTTTTGCAGTATAATTTTCCCTATAGTTGTAGAAAAGTAGTGTTACCATAGCAACTGTAGAATCACCACAACAGATCAATTACTATAGTAGTTGTGTTACCATAGCAACTGTAGAATCACCACAACAGATCGATTACTATAGTTGTTACCATGGCAACTGTAGAATTACCACAATAGATTAGTCACTGTAGTTGTTGTTACCATGGTAACCGTATAATCACTACCACAGTGTAGTGTGGTTCAAAAACACTATAGTGTGTACTATAAATGACTATAGTGAGGGACATCACAGCAGTGGTATTACAGTCAGTGTCTGTTACAGTTATGTAAAAGTGTGATTGTGTGTGTGTTATTTTAAATGTACACTACTTCTCATGCGCTTTAGTCAGTTTTATTGATCTTTTAAAAAGAAGAACCTGATTCTCTAATAGGCTGTGTTTATGTGTATCAGTATATTTTATCAGTATTTTCTGTCTCTATCAGGAGCTGGGAGTTTATGCTCCAGGAAAGCGGCGGCAGGAAGCTGGAATGCTGAGAATGAAAGACAGACAGACATCGCTGTGTGACAATGAGGAGGAAAATCATCTCCAATCTCTGCCCATCCAGAAGAAAACACAGAAAGACAGAGCTCACGGGTAGACTAATGCTTTACTCCACAGTTTACCATCTCAGTCTGCATCGTTTCTCTTATAAACAACACTGTGGAGTCAGGGGCGCCTCCAAGGGGTGGCCAGGGGTGGCCACGGCCACCCCTTGGTAAACTCTGGCCACCCCTGTGGCCACCCCTGTGGCCACCCCAACATAATTTTGCGGTTGACATTATTGATTTAAATGAACTTATAAATTCCCAATATTTAGATAAATAAATAAATACATAAATAAATAAATAAAATGCAGTCACTAAATTATTGTTGGTGTTACTGACGTAGCTCTCCCCCTCTGGTTCAATGCTGGTGAAAGCAAACTGACGCATGCGCGCGGAAAACCATTCCCGCGCGCCTCACGCACTCCTGTGTGAATCCCGGTTGGTTGTTTGCATGCACGCCGACATAATAGGCACCGCTCATGCGCCGTGAAATAGGAGTAACAGCCTTTTGTGCAGAAGTGTCGGCACACAGCGAGTTTTGAAAGTCGTTTAAAGTTTATATAATATGATGATGATGATGATGATGATGATGATGATGATGATGTTACTTTCACTAAGCATGCCTTTAAAGCAGAAAGGAGGGATAATGAGTCAGGGAGGTAAGACTTCATAACATGATTTCTCAGCCATGATCTGGTCTAAGACCACAGATAATTCTATAATACATTTTTTGTATTCTTTAGAATTGTCATAATTAATTTTCATGCAAAAGGTTTCTTAAGTGATGTTGGCATATCACTCCAGTTGTTGTTTTCCAGTAATATTTAGGACTGATTTCTGTTATTTATTTAGAATAATAATTGTATAATAATATTAATTGTATTTATTTAGAATAAATATAAATAAATTTTTATATTTATTGAATAACAAATCTAACAATTCAAGAGAGGTGGGGATGTATAGGGTGGTTCGCCAAGGGTGTCATTTAAACTAGAACCGCCACTACCCTCCCCGTTCGTCCTTGACAGCACACACACCTCCCCGATCGTCCTTGACAGCACACATACACCTTCAATAGACAGCAATGGCTATTTAATATTTACCTTAAGCTACAGTATATCAATAGAAGAAGCTGCATTAATAAAATGGTTCAAAAAGCAATATGGATAAATAATATTATTAGGTATAGTGAGTGTGTATAGTAATGCCTTTTGTTCAGTTTGTTCATTTGTTTGGGTAATTAATAAACTCATTATTCTTTCATTCATTTTCTTTTCGGCTTAGTCCCTTTATTAATCCAGGGTCACCACAGCAGAATGAACCGCCAACTTATCTAGCACATTTTTACACAGCGGATGCTCTTCCAGCTGCAACCCATCACTGGGAATAATAAACTCATTAATCTTCATTAATTTTAGACATGGCATATCTCGTATGATGTACAATAAAGGCACGTAAAAAAAGAAGTCATTTATACAGTATATGAAAAGTGTTTTTAAACTAAACATAGATTTTTATTTGGTTTGCACATGTACTTGCTGAATTATTTCAAAGAATAAATTGCAATATTTCAAGTAGAATTAATTAAATGAATAAAACTACATTATTTCATTTACCAGAAACAAAAATATAACATTACACTGAATTCATTTTTTTTTTGTGTGCCACCCCAAGATTTGGTGCGGCCTCTTCTGGCCACCCCTAAGAAAATTTTCTGGGGGCGCCACTGTGTGGAGTCGACTGTAAATGCTGCAGTTCCTTCATTAGCCACAAGGGGAGAACAATACAAAACATTATGAAGAGTTCAGATGCAAGACATATCAGAAGTTTTATTCTAAAATGAGCAGTTTTCTCAGGCTTCTGTGGAGCAGCGAGTCTTTAAAAAGTCCAAAGTATTAGAATAACGCAATAATTAGTCTTAAATCTGTATTTCAGAGACATTACAAATGCAATCAAACCAACCCTGTAAAGAAGATTTTGTTTCTGTTTAGAAATGTTCTCTGGGTCTGTCATCAAGCAGGACGACATGGGCAGAACCAAAGTCTGTTTATAGTCTTTAGCAGAACCGAATAAAATACACACACGCTGGCATTTTGTTTACATAAGTAATGTTCGCTGGGATTGCTTTACCAGAACAAGCTCAAACTAAAACATTGTTTAATTTAATAATAATAAACTTTATTGACATTTTACAATTATGTTTTGTTTGTCTAGTTAATGCAGTTTTATAGGGAACTGATGTAAAATGTTTATGATTTTTATTGTTATTAATAATGAGGGTTTTCACACTTTATTAACAAAGTATTAACTGTCTCAAATACCCTCATGTAGGTTCAGTAAATTTTCTTTTCAGGCAAATAAAGGTTATTTTATTGTCCTTTAAGTGAAATAACTGAACGTAAACACCAAAAATGCTAATTTTAGAGGAAGATTAATGGAAGCACTTCATGATTGTGAGAGAGTGTGTGCTTTTGTTTATTGTCTGTTGTGTGGTACTGTATGACGTTTAGTGTTTTAGGGCAGGTTGTTGAGATTGTTTCTGGAATTGACAGAATGCAAAATTAATGTTTAAAGGTGTAAAGTTAGAACTTAAAAAAAAAAAAGTTCAATAATCTCCAACAGTTCAGTAATAATAAATAAAAACATGAAAAAAAACAGTATTGAAATCTGAAATACGCCAATATATGCAAAAAAAAAAAAACCTGAAGCCATTTATTTTAACTTTGTAGATCACATTGAGAAAGCCTGTTTGGAGATCATTATATTAGAGTGTTGATGTTTTTCAGGCTAGTGGAAGAGGATTCGAGACTGTCAGAGGCGCTGGCCATCTTCCCTCGGCCGAGGACTCTACTGGGAAGTGTTATTCAGGTGGCCACCTCCTCCTGTAGAGTCAGGGTGAGTTGAAATCAGCAGATTGCAGTGTAATTAATTCAATTTAAGTTAATTCAGAATATTTAGATATTTAGATGCGAAACAAGACAACAAATCTAAGAAAGAAAAGCACACTGCAAAGAATTGTCTTGGAATTGTCTTTGTTTCTGTCCAATTATCTAAATGTTCTTAAATCAAAAAGTGTTTTCTAGACAAGCAAAAAAATTTTGTTTTAAGAAATGAGTCAAAATTAAGTGAGATTTCCTTAAAACAAGCTGAATAATCTGCCAATGAGGAAAGAAAAATGTTTTATTTTTGACATAAGATTATTTTTCTTAGGGTGCTTTCACACCTACACTTTTGTTTGGGAACGTATCTCGTTTGCCCAGTTAGCGCGGTTCGATTGGCATATGTGAACAGGGCAATCGCACTCTGTTCCGCGCCAAAGTAATCGCTCCGAGATCGCTTGAATGAGGTGGTCTCGGCTCGATTGAAACGAACCCTGGAGTGGTTCGATTGTATTGAGAAAGCGATCCGATCCGAGCGCGGTTGTATCACAGTGTTTATGAATATGTAATAGGCATATACGGCTTTATGGAGAGAGAGTTATGAGTATGGCGGGAAGTTTCGCGAGTCTCCGGATGCCCGCAAACGAGTGATGATCTCCCGGTAATCTCGCGTCTCCCTCCAGGTCCTCAAATAGGCATCGTCGCACACCCTTCTCACCCCTCCCCACCGCGTCTCTCCTCAGACACGTCGCGCGCACCCTGTCAATCACCACCAAACCACCACCTCCTGACAGCTTAGCGGGACTCTGCAAAATAAACCCTGACACTCTGACCAATGTGAGGAGAGTTTACTCACACGTGACTTGTTTAGCTCTTTTGGTCCGATTAGAAACTTTGCAGTGTGAAAGCGAACCGCTCCAAGACCAAAGAGCAACAATGTTACAATTGTAATCTCTGCTTCAGAACAACTGAATCCATTCACAGGTGTGAACGCAGCCTTACACCACTGGCAGAATATTTAGCTTGTTTTAAGGAAAAACTCACTTAATTCTGACTTAATTCTCAAATATTTTGTGCTTGTCTAGAAAATGCTCCTTGATTTAGGCATGTACTAGAAACCAGACAAAAACGTCTTGATTAAGGAAGCAGGTTTGCAGTGTAAGATCACGCAGAATGATGCTCTGTGCTGGAATCAACAGCAAACTGTTGTTTAAAGCCCTCTGCCTTAGTTTTGTTTCTCTGATGGATATTTCTCCATCTGTTCCGCCGTTCTCCCGTATGCAGGATCTGCTTCAGTACAAGACCAGCGGTGGGAAAGTAAAAGTGTGTGAGCTGAACGTCCTCTGGCCGACACCCATGACCTTCACTGCTAGCGGACGCCGCAGACTGGAGGCGGAGGCCAACGCTGCAGCACTGGCCTGTCTGAAGCTCAAGGTTCATTCCAGCATCACACAAAACACACATGTGCTGTTCATTAAAGAGCATCTACCATGCAAAATCAGCCAACCACAAAACAGAATTAGCAAAGAAACTAGGATTGAAAGATGTGTTCAGGTCTGAGTAATTGATAACCGCTGGAATCAACACTTCTGTATAGTGAGCACAACTATAACGAGGATGCTTCAATCACACAACAGGAGTTGTTTTACAAGACGTAAATTAAGTGTAGTCCCTACGATGTGTGTGTGAAGTTTGAGCTGAGAATGGTTGTTTTCTAACTGTCTAAAACTGAACCCGTTTAGGCTTTGATCCTAATTGTACTGCTTTCAGACACCAAAACAGCTGCAATTCCCTCTGACCCCAAAAGTGGCCTTTTCTGAAGGCTATAATAAATGATTTAATTGGTGTTTTGAGCTGTAACTTCACACACACTACTTCCGGAGACACCAGACTTACTTTACATCTTTTAAAAGGGGCAAAATTGGAGCCCTTTAGTAATCCTGAGTGCATCAGCGTAGTCTGTGCTGATTCATCAGCAGAATGTCTTAAACAGAATTCAGAGTGACCACAGAGAGTCCAGGTTCTTCATTAAAAGTCATTCGGCTGCAGTGCTTATAATGACTGGTTTTCTCTTCGTGCAGGAGCTGAATCTGCTGGATGAGCAGAATAAGCCTCTGACCCACGCCCGGTACCATCAGGATCAGGTTCGAGAGGCCGGAGAGAGACACCGACAGCCCTGCCGGATGCAGATCCCAGAGCAGCTGGAGCTCAGGATACAGCAGTACCTCTCACAGGTCAGGGGACACTCAGGGTTGCCAAGTCTGCGCTTTTCACACTGAAATGGGATATATTTGAATTTAGTTTTCCACGACTTTTAAAGTCACAATAAAATCAAAGTTTACTCTTCATATTTTTATATGTATATAGTACTGCTTGTTGTACATGTATCTGAGCAATTCATTATTGTGTAGATATTAGTTTGCCCCCTCAGAATCTTTGTTTCCAATATCATAACCCTCTTTCCCACCCTCGAAATGATTTCTGGACACATTTAATGCCTTTAAGGTGGGGCCATCGATCATTTAGGGCGGAGCTATCAGTCATATAGGGCGGGGCTATTAATACTTTAGGGCGGAGCTGTCAATACTTTAAGGTGGGGCTATTAGTCATTTAGGCCGGAGCTATCAATCCTTTAGGGCGGAGCTATCAGTCCCTTAGGGCGGAGCTATCAAACATTTAGGTCAGAGCTATCAGTCCTTTAGGGCGGAGCTATCAGTCATATAGGGCTGGGCTATCAATCCTTTAGGGCGGAGCTATCAGTCCTTTAGGGCTGGGCTATCAATCCTTTAGGGCGGAGCTATCAGTCCCTTAGGGCGGGGCTATCAAACATTTAGGTCAGAGCTATCAGTCCTTTAGGGTGGGGCTATCAGTCATATAGGGCTGGGCTATCAATCCTTTAGGGCGGAGCTATCAGTCCTTTAGGGCTGGGCTATCAATCCTTTAGGGCGGAGCTATCAGTCCTTTAGGGCTGGGCCATCCTTCAGGGCGGAGCTATCAGTCCTTTAGGGCGAAGCTATCAGTCCTTTAGGGCTGGGTTATCAATCCTTTAGGGCGGCGCTATCAGTCCTTTAGGGCTGGGCCATCCTTCAGGGCGGAGCTATCAGTCCTTTAGGGCTGGGCTATCAATCCTTCAGGGCGGAGCTATCAGTCCTTTAGGGCTGGGCCATCCTTCAGGGCGGAGCTATCAGTCCTTTAGGGCTGGGCTATCCTTCAGGGCGGAGCTATCAGTCCTTTAGGGCTGGGCTATCAATCCTTCAGGGCGGAGCTATCAGTCCTTTAGAGCTGGGCTATCCTTCAGGGCGGAGCTATCAGTCCTTTAGAGCTGGATTATCCTTCAGGGCGGAGCTATCAGTCCTTTAGAGCTGGGCTATCAATCCTTTAGTGCTATCATAAGCTTCAGTAATTAATCGCAACAAGAAAGTGTTGTACTCACTCATGTGCGTGTGTGTGTGTGTGTGTGTGTGCGTGTGTGTGCGTGTGTGTGTGTGTGCAGTATCCAGTGGAGGCGGAGGTTCAGAAGCTGTGGGATGAAGAGGAGCATCAGTCGTCCTCCATCAGTACAGCTGCAGATGATTATGATGAGGATGAGTTTATAACAGACGCCATCACTAGTAAACCATACCGCGCTCTGGAGCCCAAGGAGGCGGAGCATCTCAGTCAACGCCTCCTCAGCATGTGGAAGAGGGTGGGGCCTGCCCGGGGGGCGGAGCTTCCTGTGGACGCCCATAAAGAGAGCATTCTGGAGGCGGTGAGGTCTTCACAGGTATGCGTGTGCCATATGAGGAGTTTGGATTGTGGATGATTGAAATGTCTCCACCATCTGCTTTTGAAGGAATATTGTAAACCACTGTTATACAATGACTTGCCTAATTAACCTTACTTTACCCTAATTAACCTTGTTAAGCCTTTAAATGTTTCTTTAAGCTGAATACTAGTGTCTTAAAGAATATCTTGTCTAATATTATGTGCTGTCATCACTTGTAATGCGTTACCCAACACTGCTCATTACCCTATCTCTGCCCCTATGCACAGGTGGTGGTGATTTCAGGAGAGACGGGCTGTGGGAAAACCACACGAATTCCACGCTTCCTGCTGGAGGATGGAGTTCTGAGGGGAGAAGGGGCCGAGTGTAACGTGCTGGTAACACAGCCGCGGAGGATCAGTGCAGTGTCTGTGGCTCAGCGGGTGGCGCATGAGATCGGGCCCGCACTGCAACACTGTGTGGGATACCAGGTAAGAACTTGCACACACTCCAGTCCTTACAAAACGTGCAACACACTGCAGTCCTGACAAAACGTGCAACACACTGCAGTCCTGACAAAACGTACAACACACTGCAGTCCTGACAAAATGTACAACACACTCCAGTCCCTACAAAACATGCAACACTGCAGTCCTGACAAAACATGCAACACACTGCAGTCCTGACAAAACAAACAACACACTGCAGTCCTTACAAAACAAACAACACACTGCAGTCCTTACAAAACAAACAACACACTGCAGTCCTTACAAAACAAACAACACACTGCAGTCCTTACAAAACAAACAACACACTGCAGTCCTTACAAAACAAACAACACACTGCAGTCCTTACAAAACAAACAACACACTGCAGTCCTTACAAAACAAACAACACACTGCAGTCCTTACAAAACAAACAACACACTGCAGTCCTTACAAAACAAACAACACACTGCAGTCCTGACAAAACGTGCAACACTCTCCAGTCCTTACAAAACATGCAACACTGCAGTCCTTACAAAACAAACAACACACTGCAGTCCTTACAAAACAAACAACACACTGCAGTCCTTACAAAACAAACAACACACTGCAGTCCTTACAAAACAAACAACACACTGCAGTCCTTACAAAACAAACAACACACTGCAGTCCTTACAAAACGTGCCACACACTCCAGTCCTTACAAAACGTGCCACACACTGCAGTCCTGACAAAACAAACAACACACTGCAGTCCTTACAAAACAAACAACACACTGCAGTCCTTACAAAACAAACAACACACTGCAGTCCTTACAAAACAAACAACACACTGCAGTCCTTACAAAACGTGCCACACACTGCAGTCCTTACAAAACGTGCCACAAACTGCAGTCCTTACAAAACGTCCCACAAACTGCAGTCCTGACAAAACAAACAACACACTGCAGTCCTTATAAAACGTGCAACACACTGCAGTCCTGACAAAACAAACAACACACTGCAGTCCTTACAAAACTTGCAACACACTCCAGTCCTTACAAAACGTGCAACACACTCCAGTCCTGACAAAACAAACAACACACTGCAATCCTTACAAAACGTGCCACACACTGCAGTCCTTACAAAACGTGCCACAAACTGCAGTCCTTACAAAACGTCCCACAAACTGCAGTCCTGACAAAACAAACAACACACTGCAGTCCTTATAAAACGTGCAACACACTGCAGTCCTGACAAAACAAACAACACACTCCAGTCCTTACAAAACTTGCAACACACTCCAGTCCTTACAAAAACGTGCAACACACTCCAGTCCTTACAAAACGTGCAACACACTGCAGTCCTGATGAAACGTGACAGCTCCTGAGGTAGCTGTTTTAGTTAACAGTAGAGGCTCTGTCCTAGAGCATGATCTTGCATGATCAACTGTATGGTGTTTGTTTCTCCATCAGGTGCGTCTGGAGTCACGTCCGCCGGAGCGCAGTGGTGGCGCTCTGCTGTTTCTGACCCTCGGTGTGCTCCTGAAGAAGCTGCAGTCGAACCCGCGTCTGGAGGGCATCAGTCATGTGATTGTGGACGAGGTGCACGAGCGGGACGTGCAGACGGATCTGCTGCTGCATCTGCTGCGCTGTGTGCTCTCGCTGAGGCCCGAGCTGAAGGTGCTGCTCATGAGTGCCAGCGGCGACTCACAGAGACTGGCGCAGTATTTTGGTGGCTGCCCGGTGCTCCGCGTGCCCGGCTTCATGCATCCCGTGCGAGCGCGGTTTCTGGAGGACATGCAGCTGGATAGCAGACGCCCTCTGCTGGATATGGGCAGCACACAGTGGAGCGCTGAGGTCAGAGGACGGATGGGGGTGTGTATGTAGTTAAAGTTGCTATTAATTATTTGTTTATTTATTTATTTTTATTTCTCAATTGACTTTTTCAAATGACGAATTTTTAAATATTTTTCATTATTCCCGTTATTTTCTTCTGAAGGAAGTATTTTAAAAAGTATTGATATTTTGGGCCAGTTTTTATTATATTTTATTACATGTTTTTAAATAATTAATTTTATTTCAGGGGTTTTAGACTTCATTTTATTGGACAGTAGCCCCCTTAAGAAATATTTTTATTGCATTTTGTATTTAATTTATTTGATTATGTATTTTATAGTTGTTTGTGTTGGATCTTTATCTTGTAGTTTGAGGCAAATTTATTAAATGTTTTTTGTGAATATTATTTTTTTCAAATATTTCTCAAGTAATGATAGTAATTCCTATAATTTTTTTCTTGTGGAGTAGTTTTTTTGGCTGGTTTTATTTTATTTATTTTGATAAAAATATAAATATTTATTTAATTGTTTATTTATTATTTTCTTTGGGGGTTTTAAACTTTTATTTTTTATGACCAGTATTTTTTTTTTACATTTTATTTAAATGTATTTATTAATTTATTTATTTTTAAAATGTATTTTATATTTATTAATTTATGGGTTTTTATTTTTTATCTTGTAGTTTAAGGCAAAATTGTTAAATTGTCGTTGTATAAATACTATATTCATGGTATTTCCTACATATAATTTTTTTCTTCTGGAGGAAGTTTTTTTTATTATTGGTTGTTTTTTATTTTATTTAATTTGTTATTTAATATTTGTTTTGTTTAAATTAAAAAATACTATTTAAATATTAATATTTAAATATTTATTTAGGTGTTAATATATTTCTGTGGTTTAAAGCTTTATTTTATATGACTGTAGCCCTCTTAAGAAATTATTTTAATTAATTAATTTATTTATTTTATGTAAATTAAAAATATTTATGCATTTATTTATGGATTTTTAAACTTTATTTTATATAATAGTAGCCCCCATAAGAAATTATTTCAGATTTTTTTATTGTGTCTAGAACAAACCACTGTTATACAATGACTTGCCTAATTACCCTAACTTTACCCTAATTACCCTAGTGAAGCCTTGATTACGATAACAAAAGAAATGAGTTATTAGAAGTAGTTATTAAAACTATTATACATAACTGAATTTCACAGGAGGGCAGATTATTCTTCAGCTGTACAGCAGGATTATTGTAGTTTTTTATGTTTAAATTAGTTTAAATTTGCTGGAACTTTCGTCTTGGTTTTAGTTAGTTTTCATTAATGGTTTTGTTAGTTTACGTCTTTATGTTTTGTACTCATTATATTTAGTTTTAATAAGTGCAAAGTGCAAGTTTTTATTAAAGTGCAAACGCAGAACACATTAGTCATTTTTTTCAGTGACTCTTGCCCCATTCGTTTAGTTTAGCTTATCATTTATTGTTACTTAAAAAAATTAATTGAACAATATTTTTGAGCAATAATTTTAGTATTACCCATTATTTATTAACTAACTTGTGTAAATAGAGAGTAGGGTGTGTGGAATTGATTGAGCATCATTGTTTAGTTCATGTGCTGAGGATTTGTTATTGTATGCAAACCGCTAATATAACAAAGGTCTGCTCTTATTCTTTAACAGAAGGAAGAAAATAACGTCACTCCCGATCTAGATCTGGTGGCAGACGTGATTGACCACATTCACCGCACTGGAGAGCCGGGTAAAGAGCTGACCTCTGACCTCTTTCAAAACTAAATCAGGATAATCTAGATCATTAGTTTCCTTTGGAAATAAATGCTGCGTCTCAATTCGCCTACTTACACTACGTCCTAAAAGTGCGATCTGTTTTATTCTCTTCTCGGTCTGCTCTTCAGGTGCAGTGTTGTGTTTTCTGCCCGGATGGCAGGAGATTAAAGCTGTACAGCAGCAGCTGGAGGAAAAACAGGCCTACAGGTCCGGCTCGCAGATCATTTTGCCATGTAAGAGCTCCATCATTACCTAAAAGAGGATCATAGGTTATTTCCAAGGTTTCAACATTTAAATCAGCCACAGAAAGCAGCTGCATGTGTGTTTCTCTCAACTGCGTACACTGAGAGAAACTGAAAGTAAAACTTTAACGCGTATATAGGGTGCAGTACCTTTAATGTCCAGTGGGTGGCGGGTCAAAACCACTAGTGGCTATACACGATGGTGATATACAATGATAGCCATAATAATTTAGTTAATAATTCTGACATCAACTGCATAATGTTTTCCAGCTGTAGTGGATGTTTGTCTGTGTCTGAATGTGCTGCTGTTGTCTTCAGTGCACTCCAGTATGGCGGTGTCGGAGCAGCAGGTTGTTTTCCAGCGTCCTCCGGCCGGCCAGCGGAAGATCGTTCTGGCCACAAACATCGCCGAAACCTCCATCACAATCGACGACATCGTGCACGTGGTGGACGCAGGAGTGCAGAAGGAGCAGAACTACGACCCCAGAACTAAAGTCTGTAAAATAATGAGAAATCCTGCACTTCTGTTTATTTTCTGTGTTGGATGTGAAGCTATAATAATTATTAAAGTTACAAAGCATTAAAAATTTATAAAATAAACTATAATAAATACATTCAATTACAATTACAACTGTTATAGTTACAGTATCTCTCATCTTTGTATGGATAAGGATGCTGAAATGCTGATGGATGTTGTTTTATGATGTACGTGTTGTCCTCAGGTCTCTGCGCTGAATACCGTCTGGATTTCACAAGCAAACGTGACTCAGAGAAGAGGACGAGCCGGACGCTGTCAGCCTGGACATTCTTATCATCTTTTCCCCAGAAAGCAGCTGGAGCGCATGGAGCCGTTCCCCGTGCCGGAGATCCTGCGCACTCCTCTGGAGAGTGTGGTGATGCAGGCCAAGATCCACTGCCCCGAGAGCAAAGTGAGTCCTCAGATGTACACTAGAAGAGCGTTTATTTACACTGCAGATCAAACGGAAAAGCAGTGTGCATTTAAAACTAAAGAGCCGTATTTGGTCATGGTTATTCTTCATTTTGTGGTCATTTTTTACCTTTTCGTAGTCGTTATTCTTCACTTTGTGGTCGTTATTTTTCGTTTCTTTGTTATTTTTTGTTTCGTGGTCATTATTTGTTTTGTGGTCGTTATTTGGTTTGTGGTTGTTATTCTTAATTTCGTGATCATTAGTTGTTTTGTGGTCGTTATTCTTTGTTCCTTTGTCCTTATTTTTTATTTCATTGTCATTATTTGTTTTGTGGTCGTTATTCTTCATTTCGTGATCATTATTTGTTTTGTGGTCGTTATTCTTCATTTCGTGGTCATTATGTGTTTTGTGGTCGTTATTCGTTTCTTTGTCGTTATTCTTCGTTTCATAGTCGTTATTTGTTTTTTGATCGTCTTTCAGTTTTTGGTCAGTATTTTTCATTTTGTGGTCATTCTTCGTTTCGTGGTTGTTATTCGTTTTTCTGTTGTTATTCTTCTTTTGTGGTCATTATTATTCGTTTCATGGTCATTAATCTTTGTTTCTTGGTCGTTATGCTTCGTTTTGTTGTCCTCGTTTGTTTTGTCATCGCTATTTGCTTTTAGATTATTCGCATTTTGTTATCTTTTTGTCTTCGTTATTCATTTTGTCAGTATTCTACATTTTGTCATAAATATTTTTTAATTTGTCATAACTATTCATTGTTTTGTCT